TATGACATCTTCATTGGCAGTCTGAAAATTGGGATGACAAGCAGTACACTCTCGATCCTCAAGACAAGAAGCCAGATCAGGTAGCATATTATCATATGATCTCCCTAAGCTCTTGCACTTGTGTTGCAGATGTCTATGTTTCGCAGATTTCAAGGACAAACCAGAACTTCATGTTCAACCGGCTTGAGATATATTTATTATACGTTGGCATTGAAAAGTGGCAGGTAATTAATGATCTTACACTCAGGGAATAGAAAAAAACATTAGAAATGTCTTGGGATGTGATGACCCTCAGTATGGAAAGCATAAAGACGCGTGTTGCCTTTTTACATTCAATTTAAATCATTCAAACTGTTGCTTTTCTTGATATTGTTAGAGATTTGTTGAATTTGTGACAGACTGAAACAAGAAGACAGCAGGTAAAGAAAGACATAATTTCATCCTTTAATTTTAAATTCAAGTTAAAAAAAAATCAAATTAAAAATTTTTAAAATTGCTGAACCAAAAATAACAATATTAAATAATTTTTTATAACTTTAATATTTTTTATTACATTAAAAAAATTATTCAACCTCGTAATTTGTATAAAATTTACCTTAAAATTAAATTAAAAAAATTATTAAAAATTTATTTGGTATTGTAGAAATAATTATTTTTCACATAAAAATATATTGGAATAATATTTTTTTTATTTTTTAAAATTTATTTGTGACATTAACATATCAAAATAATTTAAAAATATCTAAAATATTATTTAAAACAAAAAAAATATTTTTTATAAAAAAAAAATGATATAACCACAAAAACAATTTAGTACCGAAATGAATTGAATTGTTCTGGTACTGTAGTTATTTGAGGACAAAAAGTAAACGACGGCGTTTGTGGTTTTTCACCTTCTCTATTTAAAAACTACACGTTATCGGAGACCACTCCCGCCCAGGCATCAACTCCAACATTTCAAAACTCCCTCCCTGTAATCTCAAGCTGAGGGTATTGACAAGATGAGATCAGTAGATTCTCTGGCACGGTGTGTCCGAGCCTTTTGAGGCATAGTACCAATGATGGGTTCCAAAGCAGGAACTTTAAAATCTTCAATTTTTTACCATAAACTATCAATATAATGTAGTAGAGCTAGGAACACCTTTGTTGTTGTTTTAGATGGAGAAAGCAGAGTTGATTTTTGGTCAGAAATCATTGCTGAACAAGGAGGAGGAGGAAGGCAATCACTTCAAAAAAATACAAAAACAACCCATTTACCAAAGTAGGAGAAGACAAACCAAATTCAAATAACTTCCACGAGATGCCAACTTGTAATGTTAAATGATAAAGACTCCAGCGTTATCATTTCGGGATTGAACAGCTCTATGTACAGCACCCTGCCCCTCCTTTCTTTTTTCTTTTTTTCTTTTCAAGCTATGCTTCACAAGTCCAAAAAAAAGCGCAGAGACTAGCTGAAAACGTGTCACAATTCAAATCTTGGATCCATTGTTCACATAGATAAAGTTTCTTTTCAAAATTCCATACCTATATAAATTCAAATTTACACACAAATTTATTCTAAATCAATCAAAGTTCAACGCAACATTAATAACAAAATCAACTTCATAATATAATTGAATTGTCTTAATACAAGAGTTTTAGAGCACTGACTAGACATAAAAAAAGGTACAAATTACAATCAAAAGAGCAGGTTTTAAAGGTCCAACAAAAGTGACCTGCTATCAAGTTATAAGCCTGAAAATGATAAATAATAAGAGTGTGAGTTCAACAATTTAGTGAGTAGATAACGTTCAATATACACACACGAGATAATACAACAATGATAAATATATATACAAGTATAGATTTAGGTTCTTATAAAAAGGTTTCTCAAATAGGCCATAACAAGAATATCATATGGTAATATCATCAGAAAATCAAAATGCAATGAGCATGAGGCTTCGTACTGTGGGATGATCAGTCCACACAGGTTGGTGACTCCCCCGACCAATTAGGGTTCAAATACGATGTGCACAAAAACTAACACTACCCTGTTAGTAGCGGTATTCTGACTGACATATCATAGGGTTATAATCATAATCAAACAGACATATTAATATCTCAAGGCTCAACTCATGGCATCAATCAAATGAGAAGCTATCAATTTAGAAGTCAATTCAAAATGCATATTGGTTCATATCAAGAATTCAAATTTAACAAATAATCATGCTTATCATAACAAGAATAATAATCAACATATATATTATCAAGAAGCATGATCCAATTTATATTAACAAATCAAATATTTATAATATTTCTCATGCATATGGAAAATTATCCACTCACCTGACTCGAAAGCAAACAAAAATCAAAAGCAGATACCGAAGAAAATTCTACTGACGTCTTGCTGGTAGAATATCAAGATTATCTAAATACAAAAGAGACATATTCAAGAATGACTCAAAAGAATATATAACCTATTTAATATAATTATTTAAAGATGTATTCCATAACCCTATATATTTTTTAACTAACTAGTTATATTTCAAAAACCCAAAAATTAACGATTTTCTCAAAATCTAATCCATAATAAAACAAATAATAAAATTGATAATACTTCACTAACTAACCCTCAATTATTCATCAAACCCATCTACAAAAGCTAATATTACAGCTAGAGACTAATCTGTAATTTATCATATTTTTAAGGGTCAAATTGTAACTTTATCTATTTGGAGGACCAAACTAAAATTATCATAAATCCATGACTATACTGAAATTATGACCATAATCAATCCTCATTTCTGTCCAGATCATCTCATTATACTCCATGGATCATTCTGGAATTTTATCAAATTTTTTAGGGTAAAATGGTATTTTTTGTCAAATTGAAGGACTAAATTGAAAGTGTTAAAATTTTATAACTATACAGGAATTATGCCCATAATTTATCTTTTATTCTGTTCAGAATCTCGGAATAGGCTCCAGGGACCAATCTGCAAATTTTCCAAAGTTTGGGGACTAAACTGTAATTTTCCAAAATTGAGGGACCAAATTGAATTTTCATCATCTTCATCATCAAACCTAGAATTTTCACAGATTATCTACTGTTATCCCCTAATTTCTAACACAAATTCACCATTCAAATAAAAACATAACTCAAAATCATCATTTTTATCTACAATCTCTCAAATTCAACTTAATAATTCATTACTCACAACAATCAACCCATAACATTCAACTTAATTCATAAATTAACCCAAAACAGAAATTTTCAAAACCCTAACATTTATCAAAATCAAAATTAAAGCTTAATTAACATATATTTATACAAAATCTTACCTTTAAACTTATTTCTTTCAACTTCTTTTTATTTTGCTTCTAATTTTTTTATTTTTTATTCTTCTTTTTTTTTTTTCTCTCTTGCTGATTCTCTCTTAAATTTCAGATTATTTTTTTGTTTTTTTTACTTTTTATTTATATTTATCAAATTTTATTAAATTACTATATTATCCCTCATTTATTTATATTCACACTTTAAACCACCAAAAACTTTATTATATTTTCCTACTTATTTATTCAAAACAGCACAAAACGGGTTTCTCGATCGGAGGCTCGGGCTTGCTTGAAACTCTTAGATGTCTGGTGCGGGGCAGGGAAGATCCATTGAAAGCGAAAGCCTTCCCTCCCCTCTTTGGTTATTCCCGGAAGGTTGGGCATTCCACGGGCACCGGATATGAGTATGGATATTAAGAGTTCAACCCCTGCCTCGGTCAACCGGGCACGCGATTAGTGTCCTTTTTGAAACCTCCCTGGCATTATCTAGTGATCAGTGCAGGAAACAAAAGGAGGTGAGCTGTCAATCAAGACGGAGGGACCATCGGTAAGGGAAAGATTCCAATAAGAGATCAGCCACTGGCTCAAAGCAACTTTTTGTGTTTTTGTTTTTGGGTTTTGCAGGAGACAGTTGGAGTTGAAGGATAATGAGGAGAATAGAGTGAGTTTTGGTGGTGGTGGTCGTGCCACTAAACGTGTCAGTTGGAATCGTTCACTTTCTACCATGTTAATTCAACTCAATTCCCTCTTTTCAGTGAACTCTAAATGATGGCTTTTTCTTGTTGATTGTGGTTCTTTTTGGTCTTGCATCGGTGGGTTGTTGAAGTTTTTTCTTGTTGTTGTTGTTTCTTGATATTTATCATCACTCACATAGGATATCACTTGTGCTATTCTAGTTAAGAACTGTAGGATTATTAGGCTTTGATTTGTTCTATTATTTGCAAGTATCCTCGTTCTACATGCTCTTTCCTTTTCACTTTCTTGTGTGCTGTGTGTTACTCACGTAATGCTAGGGAAATTCATTGCTAGTACATTTTCAGAGTTTGAGAATCGAGATGCTGTCATGTAAGCTATAATCTTTTTTTCTCAAACTTAATTAGCATGTTTTTTTCAGTAACTATCTCAATTTAAATTTGATTAACTATTTTAATTTAAAAATTTAAATTTTTAGATAAAATTTAAAATATGGTTTATATTATTTTCTAATACATTTTTTTAAATAAAAATTTTTAAAGTTTGAAACTTGCACAAATCGATATTATCTTGTGTTTTATTTTTTATCAAATAAATAGAAATGGTAAAATTCAAATTCGTGATCACTTGGTTATAAAATTCTGATATTATACTAAAAAAAATTATCTCAACTTAAAAATTTAAATTTTTAAATAAAATTTTAAAATATAATTTATATTATTTTTTAATAATTTTATGTCGTACTTCAGCTGCACTTACAGGGAGGATAGGTATAGCTGTTGTTGCTTGTGTGGACAATCAGCCTCAACAAAAAACAGGCTAGAAAAAAAAAGGAAAACCTCCCGTTCCAAAAGTTATCTCCATTGTTATTTCCTGCGTGTTCTCTTATGTTTTGTTATTACCATTGTGGTTTCTTCTAGACTGCATTTGCTCTTTCAAGTTTCTAGCACTAATTTTTTTTTCTTCCCGTTCTGGTTCCTTGTAAAGTTTGTGCTTTGATTTCTGGTGTTTGAAGGGAAAAGCAGCACAACATCCCTAATTTTAGAAAGAAAAGCAATACTTTGAAGAGGTTGATGCTTTTGAGTTGCTGGAAGAAAGCCCATCTCCGAAAAGCTCTAGTACATGGGCCACAGACAATGAAACTGATGCGGTTGCTATACCACATTTGTCATCAAGATAAGAGAATTGGCTTTCTTGCGAAGAAGGGCCTTCTAGTACACTTTCAAAGTTATTAGGAACTCCAACCATGCCTCCCTTGGAACCTATGTGTGGCGATGATTTGAACATTGTAGATTTGATAACTCCAGAAAAACATGTTTTGAAGACTAATTCGAAACTGCATTCTGTCCAGAGTAGAATTAAATCGTATTTACCAGGTAAAGATGTATTTGAAAGGAATTCACTTGATGAGGGTTGTGAAGAAATTGATGGAGCAGCTAAGAAACTGTCTTCAGTTTCAACGTCTACTTTATCAGATCATGACATGAACATTGTGGATTTGATAACTCCAGAAAAACCTGTTTTGAAGACTAATTCGAAACCGCATTCTGTCCAGAGTAGAATTAAATCGTATTTACCAAGTAAAGATGTACTAAAAATGAATTCACCTTCACAAAAGAGAAGTTCTATTTTGGTGTGTGATGAGGGTTGTGAAGACATTGAAGGTGCAGTTAAGAAACTGTCTTTAGCTTCAACGTCTACTTTATCAGATCATGAATTGAACATTGCGGATTTGATAACTCCAGAAAATCCTGATTTGAAGAGTAATTCGAAAATGCATTCTGTCCAGAGTAGAATTAAATCATATTTACAAAGTATACATGTACTTGAAAGGAATTCTCTTTCACAAAAGAGCAGTTCTATGTTGGTGTGTGATGAGGGTTGTGAAGGCATTGAAGGTGCAATTAAGAAACTGTCTTTAGCTTCAACGTCTACTTTATCAGATCATGATTGCGGGGATCCATTTTCTGCGCTATTCGCAGTCTCTGGACAGTCAGTTCCATTGACATTGCTGGAAGTATTCTCTAAATATTGTTGTTCTTTTTCCCATCAAGCAGCTGCTCTTTTCCCCTACAAGATGCTCTTACATATATTCATATTGTTTTTACTCACAAGAGGTCATTGAACAATGCATGCGTGCAAACCTTTTCAGTTTTCTATATTTGAACCCATTTCCGAACAATATTTCTTTTCAAAGAAGCAATTATTTTATCTGGATGGTGTCTGCAGCTGTTTGGTCGGGGGTTGACTTTTACAACAATTTTTCTTACTTTGAGATGAACCGTTCATATAAAAAATCATGATGGATCAGTTCATATTTTATTTGAACTGTGTTTAGTTCCTTCCATCATTAGTTTCATTTGTTGAAAAATGAAACAGAAGCCTACCTTGGAATCAATAACTTCCAGTATGGTCTGTAGAAATTTGTGTTGTAGCTATTTTGCGTTCCCTGAACCAACAATATTGTATTCAGACATCTTCCCTTTAAAAACTTATAAAAAATTGTTGGCTGTGTCTTTTGAAAGATGAAAGTAAGACTTTTGAGAGGAGAAAAGCACATATTGTGTTAGAGTTGCCTCGTTGTGCTTTAGGGTCAGGGAATTATCTTGATCATGGCATACTCATTGATTGGAGGTGGTCCGTATCATTTAAGTGATTGATCGATGTGTAATAACTGCATTATCGAAGTCAGTAATTCACACAAATTTACCTGCCAGACTTCAGTCATATACCTTATCTTTGCAGTTGTTACACCTGTTGTTTTTGTTCTTGGATTTTTTATTCTTATTTTCTTCTCAACGCAGCACCGAGTCATTTAAATTGAGCTCCTTCATCCTTGAAACTGGTAACAAAAAAAACCTTGTTTTTGCAGTGAACCAGATAATATTGTCAAGGTGGGTGAAGGCACTTATGGAGAAGCATTTGAAGCTGGTAATATTGTCTGCAAAATAGTACCCATTGATGGGGATTTACCGGTAAATGGAGAAGTACAGAAGGTATTAAACAATAACAACATTTCCATTTATAACTTTTCTGTGAAGTCACTCATGGTCAACATATGATAGGCAGAAATGTTCTCATGATTATCATATTGACACTTTCTTCGTGGATTAATATTGCTGAAACATTTGATTTTCCATGTTCTAGAGATCAGAAGAATTGCTCGAGGAGGTTATCCTTTCTCGAACTCTCAACAATATCAGATCACATGATTCTGACGTGGACCACGCTTGCACAACATTCATCGAAATTCTAGAGTATGTGATCCAAGTACTGCTATATTTTTTCTGCAACTGCTTAGTATCTTTTCAAAACAATAACCTGCAATAGGTTGCTTTCTTTTTAGTGTGGTCAGTAGGCTTACATTCTGGAATTGAAGAAAACCATAATGTGTTATGTTTGTTCAATGGCTTTGCTTTGCAAATTGAGCTGAGCAATAGCATATGGCTATAAGCTAGATAGACTTGGATTTGCTGAGGGTAGACTTAACTTATGAATAATATGAAAACTCATCTTTAAGTCAGTTTACATATCTGTTGCAGCCTAATACTTTACTTCCTAGATTTTCTGCAGTACGTGATATCTAATGATCTCTTTTTTATCCTTAGTCTATGAGTGTGCGAAGGTCCTTATGACCCTGCCTTGGTCAGAGCATGGGAATACTGGGATGAAAGGCATGGTTCTGAAAATGATCATCCTAAGGAGTTTCCAGAGAAACAGGTTTAAAGTTGAGCTTTTATAGACATAACTGACTGCTTTCAAAAATACATCCGCTTCCTGCACGCACGATGTACATGCATGTTTTATATGTAGACATTTACATTGAATTGGCTGAAGTTGCAAAATCCCCGTATGACATCAATGCTGCAAGTTTCCAGAATAAGGTTTATACGTTTTTTTACCATGTTCAATTAATTTATGCAGTGCTATGTTGTGTTTGTACTACAACATGGTGGGAAAGACCTTGAAAGCTTTGTGCTCTTAAACTTTGATGAAGTGCATAGTTTATTGGTACAGGTAATGATGCACATTTTATTCAAGCATTTTTTGTCAATTCTTCACTGAGCTGCCACCTTCAAGATTTAATGTGTCTATCGTGCTCTGCAGGTTACAGCTGGCTTAGCTATCGCAGAAGCTGCATATGAATTTGAGCATCGTGACCTGCACTGGTTTGTTGTTCTGGAAATAAATAATATTGTTTTTCTTGCATGAGTGCTGATTTAGGACTTTTTTGATGCAGGGGAAACATTCTTTTGCGTCGAAATGACTCTACTACAGTGCAGTTTATCCTGGAGGGGAAGAAAAACGATTTTCAGAACTTCAGGATTATTGATCTCAGTAATTGATTTTACTCTGTCCAGAATTAATACAGGTGACTTCTTTAGTTTTTCTTAATATTATTCACATAAATGTTTAGAATTATACTTGATTCATGATAAGCTAACAGACACTTGTTTACACAGATCAAGATATACTCTTCCAGGACTTAACCTCGGAGCCTCATCTCTTTAAGGGCCCGAAAGGAGATAGACAGGCAAGAGCCACAATACAAGCTGTAGGTCCTGTTTATTTCAGAATATTGGCTAAGTGGTTCCTAACATCATGTGCAAGCAGAAACTTACAGGAAGATGAAGGAAGTAGCTGGAGACTTCTGGGAAGGAAGGTGATATTGTTGATAGCTTTTCATCTTTCTTGAATGCATAAGAGGAGCATGCTGGTGTTTTTACTCTACTTCATTTGCTCATGAGGCATTAGATATGAAACAGTTAAAATCTATGCCAATTCAGCTGAACATATGCACAGCCTGTTTTTGCAAAATGTACTCCAGTGCAGCACAAATATTTTCCTGATATGTTGCATATGTGGTTGCCTGTGCTGTATCACAAGCAATCATATGTTCTTCTAGAACCCTAAGTCACATTTTGGAGAAATGCATTCGAGTCATTTTCACAGCAGTTTATCCTGTTGTATCAGGGTGTCTTGGTTTCAAGCACTAGGGAAGACAAAAAATGTTGTTCTTACTTTTTTCTCTCTTACTTGCTCAGGGGCTTTTCTTCTAGCTTATCAAAACTTCGTGTTTGGTTATTGGAAAGATGGTATGACTGTTTTGTCTCATTTTCTACAGCTTTCCCAGGACAAATGTATTGTGGTTGATATACTTGGTGGACATATTGCTCCTGAAGAAATCTTTTGTAAGTCTCTCTTTTCTACAGACTATGAAATGAGGTAATCTTTTTTATTTATCAAATTTTCCACGTTTTGTTGCTTTACATAAAAGCACCTCCTAGCAGTGTGTAGCATAGTCATAGCTCCTAAAAACTTTTCATGTATTGAAAGCTAAGATGTTCCATGAAAAAGAAACGGAGGTTTTTGCTGCATCCTAATCTTGTACAACCATTTTAACTGTAATTGTTAGATTTTTATGTGCTTAACTTAGTGTTAATGTGATACCAGGATCGCTCTTCAAAAAATGAGGGAGATTTGCACTCATTGAAAAAGCGTCTCAGCAAGTATAATTCAGCTAAGGAAGCTATTACTTTGGATCCCTTCTTCAGCAACTTGCTTGTTTTGTAAATAAAATGAGCCGTGAGAAGGCATATGCAATCAAAAAATTTTGTAAATTATAACATAGATGCTAGTTATGACTCAACTAGCATCTTGTGATGGTTGGAGGATATGACTGACAAAAGTTTGTGATAATCTTTAGTAAAAGAGAGTTTATGTCATTGATTTGAAGTTCACGAAGTTGATCTGATCTTTATCTGGCTGTGGATGGCATGTAAGGCTGCCCAATGTTTTATACTGTCTTTTTGGTCACTTTGCAATATAGTTTGAATGCTGAATCACTTGACTCTGTTCTTCCTCAAAGAATTGATGGGATTCATCTGTGCACCTCTGTAGGTATATTTTAGTGGAGCGTTTCTACTTCTTTTGCTTTCAGTGAATGCAAATGTTACATTCTAGCTGACAAAACATAGATTAGTGTTACAGAATAGATGGTTAATCATCCTACTAGTTTTGGCTTGTTCTTTTTCATTCTTAATCCTTCAGAATTGGCTACCACATGTTATGAAATGGAAATCCTTGATGATGGGAATTACAAATGTCCTCGCTGATAGCCAAGTGCAAGTAATACTTGACATCTTTTGAGCAAAATCTATAACCAATAATGCAGAAAATAGCAAGGGACACTCTCTGGATTTGTAGGTAACTCCAACAATAAACTAAAGGGCGGTGGTCTCTCTCGTGCGTTATATTTTCATGAACTACCTGCAACTTGCTGTTTTTGAATCATTTTACAGTGCACACCCAAAAGCACAATGCAGCAAATGATGTCACTCAAGATTGTCGCTCTAACAAAAGTTACTTTAGCTTCCATTAACTTTTTAATCTTTCTTTCCCTTTCCCTTTCCTTTATCAAGCAAAACTATGCCCACTGGCTGCCCAAAAACAACACTTGGAAGAGTATGGAAAGAATTCAAAGATGAGATACACCACTTTCTATCCTCTTAACCAGAAACCAGCATGGTATGTTCCAAAAGGTGTGGACACACACAATTTGATGAACGCCATTAATTAGCGTCTTTTTTCTTCAAATCTCTGATTCTATAGTAGCTAATGACTCGAAATGTGAGTATCAGTTATAGGCAGATTATGCTTAGCACATCCCAGGTCTCTAATGCTTTGATGAAGGAATTTGATATGACACTGATTTTATCCTTCATTCAGAAAGTAAAGGGCAAAGCTAAATTAGAAAAGGGCAATATATCAGATATTAAAGTACCAATATCTCTGTTCGGGCTTAGTTTATCTTCTCCTTTTCTTCTTTCTTCCTTTTCTTTTTATCAGGGTTCATGCATGGATTCCTGTTTTCTGTCAACCTTATCACCACCAATAGCTATGGCTACCCTCTTTCTCGCTCTCTCTACTGTGCTTGCTTTCGGCCATGAGGTGTTGCCTAGTCAGCCAAGGTGCTTTTGAAATCATCAAAACTAGGAAGGAGAGAAGCACATTGCGTTATTCCACATGGGGTGTCCCTACCCAATGGAATATCTTACATATCCCATAGAAAGTGGCACTAATAATGTTGTTACAAAGGTTAAGGCACCGCTAACGTATCTATGTCACTGTGTAAAGCCATTAGTTTTCTACTTTCTACTGACAATCATCAGGCTAATTACACCATGTAGTCCCTCTACTTATGTCTTTGATCAACTGGATCCCTTTACTACTAATTTGATTAATAAGATCATTCTATAGAATGTTCTCTTTACAATCAGGACCCTCATCCTATGATGGCTTTAATGATAAATGGGTACAAAAATGAGAAAACTTGAAGAATTTTATTTTATTTTTCTTATTTTAAGAGGACACGTGTTATTTCATCATAGAAAAATCATAAGTATTGTAAATCGAGTGCCTTGATTGTGAAAAGAATGCAGTAGGGGGTGATTACTTGAACTCCCATAGTAGAGGGACGATGGATGCAATTGACCCGACAATGCTTCTACTTGGCGTTTTATTACATAGATGAATCATAAGTGAAGGCAGCTTATGTGAATGAATGCTAATTTGTTCCTTTACAGGATGTTTTGTCTGCTCAGAATATGGTGGGCTTGGAAAAATAAAAACTGAAATCTTGTCCTGGAAGAAACTGCCGAAAAAACATGGTTGAGGTTTGAGGCCTAATCCAAAGCCTCTTTTGGCCTTCAATAAATAAAAACAATTAGTGGGATTTGTTGAGCTCAGCAGATCTGACTTAGATATCCTCCTTTTACACAGTCCAATCAATCTCAAGTCCTCAAGGTTTTGCTAAGGTAGGGTGATGGATGCCTAGGGCTGCAGTACATTCTCCTTTTTTATTATAGCCTCCACTAAACTTTCAGGCATTTTTTTAGCCCCCTTCGTGATTCTTGATTCTTTTATTATGTTTCGAAAAACTACACGCATTTTTGCTGGATAAATTTATCAATTAGCATGCAAAATGCAAATGATTGGCAAAAAATCATGGTGAAATAGCAATTTTTTTTTTTTGTGATGTCATGCTTATATATCTATTATATATTACAGTCAGAAATTATAAAAAAAATTAATTGATATCACTATTTATAACTGTAATATTTATTTAAATTTAAGAATAATTAGTTGATCAAATAAAAATTATAAAATTGCTAAAACTAGTATTGAAATTTTTAAAATCTAAAAATATTATGGTCAAAGTAGTGATTTCATAACTACTATAAAATAAATTATCTTAAAAATTCATATAAAAATATAAATATAATTTAACAATTGAATCAAAAGTTATGAACCATTATTCTTATCTGGTTCGATTAAATTTTTTTCTAGGTCTAAACTTATTATATTAGTTTATAAATATATTTATTATGTCATTTACATCTATCTAGAATATATCTTTATTTAGTTATGGCAAACTAAAACTTAATTACTTAGATTTACTTATAAAAACTTAAATTTTAATTAAATTTTAATTTTTAATTTACAAGTTAAACAAAGATTTATATTTTTACTCATAAAACATTTTTAAAAGAATCATATAATTATAGTTTTGTGTTGAACGGTCCATCAATTATACATTTATATCCAAGCAATTAGCACTTATTGTGCTTCAAAAACACAATATGTTTAAATACTGATATTATGAAGCACAACAACTATTTCTTCACGCTTGCTTAGAAATAGCGATATCTAGGCACATTTCAGAAACACGCAACAAGATAAAAATATATTATTTCATCGAATCTTTTCGTTATTCTATCTAAATTTTTAATTTATTGTGTTAATTTAAAAAAATCCATTTTCTCATAAGGTGTTAATATTTAAATATTTTAGCTGTCTGCCCAGGTTCTGCAGAAGAATCTTCGCACATATAGTAAAGAAAATTTAAGCTAGTTAAGAACTGTCAGAAGAAAACAATGGCATGAGTTCTTGTCGGACAGTGCCATAACGATGGATTCAAGAAAAATGAAAAACATTTTACTGTGGTAACTGAAAACAGTAGCGGAGCATTTATGAGGGGAAACATAACAGGGCATGTCTTGCCATCCTTGTATTGTGAAACCCTTTTGGGACAAGCAGACAAAGGCATGCCATCTTTGCTTATTATATTTGTACTGTGTAACATGCATGTGGGCGGGCATATCTCATGGAATTTGTCTTGGTGTGTGGAGGAAGATGCTTTCTGTTTTGAGCCCAATTGTGTTTTTGGGAAAGATAAAAAAAAGAAGCTATAAAAGCAGTCGTTGATCACTTGATTCTCTCTACTGTTGGGAAACAGCACATTTTCCAGCCCCATCCTTCATGCCAAAGTAACACCTTCCTTCCTTTATAACTTTCTCCTTTTCTCTCCTAACCTTTTATCTGCAACGCCTTTTCCCCTTCTATATCTCTCTCAATATTCTATGAGCATTCTCTTTTAAACAGCACTTCCATTGTATGAATCTCTTTAAAAATCCATAGGGTTCTCCTCCAGCAACCCAGAAAACACCTCTCATTATAATGGCCGGAGCAGCATCAAAGTGCCTCTTCTTATTCTTCTTGTCTCTTCTCACTATTAGCTCTTCTGGTAAGTATCTTTTATTTCTTGTTCACACTTTTTTTCTACTTAAAATTCAGTGCAAAGAAGAGTTAGAGTTTAGCCTACCCCTACCCCACTTGTGTAAAGCTGTATAGTTTTTCTTTTCTATTCTATTTTTTTTTCTCACATGTTCAATGTTATTAAGAAGTACTGGCTGCTTGAATTCATGGATGAGCTCAAACTTTTTGAAGTTTGAATCTTTGTTGAACTAGATCATTTCTTGTATTTTGTTACAGGAACTCTAGTGGGTTTCTACTACAATGCCAGAGGAATCACCGCAGCTTCTTCACTTAGCAGAACAGTATCATTTCTTGAGCTAAACAAGGTCTTTGCAAGTCATTTAAGAGTTTTTGCTTCAGATAACAGGGTTTTGAGTGCACTTTCCAACTTTAATGTGTCTGTTGATCTTTATTTAGATGATAGCTTGGTTGAGAATTTGATAAATTCTAAACCATCTGCTATCTCCTGGTTTAAGACCCTATTAGTGACCTTTCTACCCCATGTGAACATCAAAAGCATCATTGTAAGCGTCAACAATGACTTGCCAAAGCTTTTATACTCTTTGAAATCAATCCATTCAGTCCTGAATAGGTTTCATGTTGACAGTGAGGTTAAGGTCTCGGTAGCATTTTCGTTGTCATTCTTAGAAAATTTGGATAGATCACAAGAAAATGACCTCCATGGGATTTTGGGATCTATCAAGAGGACCAAGTCTTTTGTCACTGTGGAGACCAGTCTTGATGTGGATGTAGAACTGGGGATGAAAGATCTTTTTATTCAATCAATGATCCAAAAAGTCACAGCTGCCACTTCTCTGCTTTCTCCCTATGATGTTCCGATAGCTATGACAATCAGGAGCCTTGTTGTTCCTGGTGCAAAAGAAGTAGCTGAGTTTGCTGAGAAGGTTTCAAAATCTTTAGAGAACAGTAAGATCACAGGTCAGGTAGCTGAATTGTATGCAGAAGTATCTTCGGTAGAAGATTTCATGGAAAAGGAGCTGACGAGGGAACATGAACAAATCTTTCCCTCATCTCGGAGAGAGCTCTTGACAAACTTCAGAACTACTTTACATGATGATATAATCAATACACCTACAGTTTTTCCGACAAATCCCGGATCAACACCACCAGGGACTCTCCCGCCAGATACTCCAGCACCAACAATAGTCACTGTCCCTGCTACCAATCCTGCCAATCCAGTAACTGTAACACCGACCAATCCTGTATCCACTCCATTACCTTTCCCCTACACCACACCTGTCGATTCCCCCCCTGCAAATCCTTCTGTCAATCCACCAGTACCAATTAGCAATCCAGTCACAACACCAGCACCTATTACAGTTCCAGGTGCACAACCAGTGACTAATCCTGTGACAACCTATCCAACCCCAACAGGCAATGTTCCGGTCACAGCACCAGTCACAAATCCTGTGGCGCCTCCTGCAACGACAAATGCTCCAGCAATACCAGGACAGAGCTGGTGTGTGGCCAGGTCTGGAGTGACGGAGACAGCACTTCAATCAGCATTGGATTATGCGTGTGGAATGGGAAGTGCAGATTGTTCACAGATCCAGCAAGGAGGGAATTGTTACAATCCAAACTCTCTTCAAAACCACGCTTCATTTGCATTCAACAGCTATTATCAGAAAAATCCTGCGGCAACCAGCTGTGATTTTGGAGGAACAGCCACTATAGTTAATGTGAATCCAAGTAAGAAATCTGATTGACTCAGATTTGGGATTGTTCTTAAAAATTAATGTTTCGAATATTCACAGACTCGCATAACATTGAAACAGGCACTGGTTCCTGCATTTATCCAACATCATCATCTTCATCAGGCACTCCATCATTGCCAGCGCCAACAACTTCATCTGCAAATCCAGCAACAACATCACCGGTTGTCGGCGTGTCAGGGTAATTTCTTTATCATCCGTGAGTTAGGAACTCTTGAGTACAAATTCAATAACTCAAAAACTAACACTCTGATTTCCGCAGCACTCCATCAGTTTTGAACTCATCAACCAACCCTGCCTCAAGTTTTGGGTTCGATACTCCTCCCGTTCTTAACCCTCCAGCATCAATGTCAGCTAATTTGCAGCCATTTATTGGTTGTTCCATTTTCGTAACATCATTTGTTGCCAGAACAATCATTCTAGACATGTAGAACAAAGAATTTCTTTATGTACACCAAATGGATTGGAAGCTCATGCTTTCAGCAGAAGATCAGAACTGCAGCAGTTTCCAAGTTCTGTACAGAACCATCTTTAATAGAAAAGGAAACTAGAGGGAAGTTCCAAAAGAATGGTTTACAACACCAACATCCTGATAACATTTTCTGGCTGGCCGGAAGTTGCGCAGAATGTAAAGACTTTACTGCCGAAGGTACAAATCAACTTCTATGTTTACATGTTTAGTATTAGGCTGAAAGTAGTGAAATTTAATGAGGCTGGGTAGTACTAGATGTACGATGGCAATTTTGTTCCTGTGCATTTTCACAAAGTTGCAGAATTTGTAGTATAGAGTTTCTGATTAATCTAGTTAAATTATTAGGTAAGAGCAGGGATACAAGATGTTTCTTAGGTGGATGATTTATGAGGATAAACCTAAAGTTTAGCTCTTACATTTGAAGGGTAAGAACCTATGGAGCTCAGTTCAGATGGTAAGTGGATCTGCTTCCCGTGTTAGCGTCCAAGCTTCAAATCCATATGATCAACCTGTTTAAAACCAAACTAGCAAGCTAGAGACATGGTCTTTGCATGCAAAATGATTTGTTCAAGGTGAATTATTTTCGCATATGATGGATACAAGATTTTCCCGACTGTCAAAATCGCCCTGTGACTTCTTTGGCAAAAACCAAATTTACACCAGTTAAAACATATTTGTCAAGATGCTCTAATCGTTCAATTTCCATTCCAGATAGGAAAAATGCTAATTCAGCACACAAATTATTCAAAAAGTGCATCCCATATTTCCTGGGAAAAACAACGAAGGCCCACCCCGCCAGAGCCTGAATCATGCTAGGTGATGAAAAGCATCTCCTAACGGCTAATAGGATTAACGAGGACTTGATGTTCTAATGCATCAGATGCCAATTTATATTCTCAAATCATTTTGTTTAAAATATGCACCAAACGCTTGACTTAAATCAGGACACAGCATCATCTAGCTAGCCTAGCTTATAGTTGAAAATCAGATGACATATTCTGTTGGTAGCATGATCTCTCCTGTCCCCACAATATTAATAATGTCCATGTTTGACTGCAACCATATATACCTAAATTTTAATGCAAGAAAAAATGATAGCATAGCTTGCACAAGGCTCATTATCATGCCATCCAGCTGGCAAAATCAACAGCACAAAAGAGCTAATCTTTAAGTCATGGGTTCAAATAAGGAAGCCAAACGGCTGTACATAGATTTAAAACGTACAGCATAACTAGAGGACTCTAGTTCTAACGGGAACAAAAAAAACGCACCTCTGACTACACTGCACAAGGTAAAGGTACTCCACCCTAGGCTATCTCTACAAGCTAAAATGGCTTCTGAAGCTCCCCAAAACCTATGATAACAAGACATTTACAACAATCTAACCTACTATTTCATCGCTTTGAGAACACAACCAAGATCAACATAGACAAAGAAACTACAATCTTGAAGTTAGATGTCTCCCAGAAATTTTGCTTTTCATTGTTTCCCTCAGATACAGCCTGCTGTTTGGCTGCTATCTGATCTCGGAGTTCTTTCAGAGCTTTGTCCCTTCGCTCTCCCATCTGTTAAGATGAATATAAACACAATTAAATAATAGTACATGAAAGTGCAATCTAGCAGTGGAAATAACTTGAGCATATTGAAAGAACATGACCACCAAAAACTACAGAGAAAAAAGGACTCTTCTAAAATCAACAGAAGAGCACAACAATAACCACTCAAAAGACTTTGATGCTGTGGAACGTTCAATTAATTTGAACCTAAATGAGCCCGTGTCAAAATGCAGCTACTTGCACACAGCAAGTATGCATTGATGTGGTTCACTTAGTTGATGAGAAAGCTAAATACTGCACAGCATCTGGACATTTTCAAGTATGGTGCTCTTCTGATATGCAAAATGATAAGATAAAGCCAACAACACATGAGGAAGTCTTATTCACAGCAGTCGATGCAACCATCCAGTTCCAGGCAAAAGAGGTAAGACAAAAATTACCCTCTGAAGCCTTCGAGTCTGAGCGCGAGCTTCCTGAAGACAGAATTCCAACTTCAACACCCTCTTCTTCAATTCCTGATCAGCTCGTCGATGTTTCTCTAACTGCCAACAAGCAGGTTGAATCTCATAAATCACCAGGTCCGTGGACCTTAAATGACAATAGAATTAGAGAGATTATAGATACAGCTAAAGATGGATGCACCTGTGATTCTAATTCCTTGGTTTTAAGCTTCCAGTGAGCAGACATGACTCTTATTTCATCTTTCAGTTTGGCTATTTCTTCATCCTTAACAACTAAAAATTTGTTCATCTTGTCACAGTTTTTAGGAGAAACTTCATCTAATAATTTCCTGAGTTCACAATCTTTATTGTCTCCTGCCTGGGAAACAGCTCGCATGATATCATGCTCAATTCTCATAACTTCATCTTTCAGTTGCCTTTGGGAAGATTCCCTTGCTTGAAGATCCTTCTGCAAATTATCTAATTGCTCTCCTAGCCTGCTTACACGCTCTTCATGCTCTTTTAACGAGCTGTTCTTTGCATCTAATTCTTTTATCAGTGCTAAACATTGAAGCTGCACTGACTGAGCTAAGGCAGCACTCGCATCTGCCGTAGCTTGAGTGGCTGCAAGTTGTGGTCTGAGACCATCCAACTCTGTGAGGTACTGTGGCCAATTAAAAGAATAAGATCAGAATTACTGAAGTTTTAATAAGCAAGAAGCTTGCAGATGATGAACTATACAAATGGAAAGGGTTCATAATCCAGAGATGCTTTTATTGCAAATCATACAGTAACACAACTACCAATGAGCAATCTCCATTAAGGTGCCATTTAGAACTGCATTCCAAACAGTATTTCTTGAAAATTCAGGTTTTTTTTTGCTTAAAATTAATATTTTTTCTATGTTTTAAGATTGTTTTGATACGCTGATATCAAAAATAATTTTTCAAAAATAAAAAAACATCATTTTGATGTATTTCCGAACAAAAAAAAAATTAAAAAAACAACCACTACCACTCTCAAACACCCCCTAAATGTCTTTTAAAACTCATCCCAATATCAAGAGGTGACAGGTATGTTAATTCTTCGATACATGAAAACTATAATGCAACACCATGTTGGAATATTCAAAAGGTTGTCTTGAGCTAGAAGCACAGATTTTTTCTCTTTAATTATTCCAATTCCTCAATGATCATTCAGTCAATATAAACTGTTTCGTGCGTATATGTTTTCTGAAAAGCGATGACATAATGTGATGTGCAAGGAGGTGACCACCAGTACATAAATGCCTGCAAGGTAATCCCTTCAAAGAGAGTAATAATGGTTGCTTAAAGATTGACTTGTTACAAAATGATGGGTGCTTAAAGATTATATCAGATCCAGAAACTCCTACTGTCTACAACAAGTCTTCAATTAAAGCTGAAGGTTCTAAAGAATGATATGCTCTAAATGAAACAATAATAAGCTGCTGTACTCTTATCTAATTGCATAAATCTATGCACAAAATCTAAAGAGGTTTACTTTTGTACAATTCCCCACAGATAGCATCTCACATCATCGTGTTACCCTAGATTTACTAATGTCAGTCCTCTATCCTCGACCTCCATCTTTTCCTTTAGTAGCATGCTACACTCTGGAGAAGTTACTAACACAAAACTCAATGAAACTCCTATTACAAAGTGTCTCGCGTGCTCTTATGATATGTCAAAAGTAAAGAGGCAATTACAGTATCCTTGGCTACATAAAGGGACGTATACAATGGTTTGGTAGTTAAATTTGATGCTATCTTCCAACATGATGGTGATGGCAACAAGTGCAACCTATATGGCTTTCTTTTTATGTGACAAGCTTACTAGACATATATGGTAGCCTTAAATGCCTCAATTGCTTTCTATCCATGATTGGAATAGACATGTATCAAAGACATATAGACAAACACAAATAAACAGGCGACCTACATACACACAAAAGGTGATCTCCTCCTACCTTTTCCTTTTGCTGTGTTGGGAAGGGGCATGACATAAAGAGAGATAAACTAGCCCAGGCTTAATTGGTTTGTACTGACATCTCATCACTCATCTCACCAAGTTTTACTGCAATGGTGCTGATGCGCAGAGGATCCCAATTCCCAATATTATTTCGTATGAAGTCATCAACATTTTACAAAGTCATTCAATTGGGATTTATTTGGAATAGATCACCAAAATAATTGGGGCAGAGATAAGTGCGACATAGCATGGATCTTGTGATAATTAAATGATTCCAAGAGTGACCATCACTTTCAAATTTGCAAATGAGATATTTCGTTTGTTGTTCAACTAATCTTCAAGAATCAAATAGGAAATCTACATGATTTCCTTAAACTACATAGTCAATTAAAGTTTCAATTAATGCAGCCCCATCAAGAATCACAGCAATCAATACACAGCCTAATGAAAGTGGTAGCTAAACTAAAAAAAAAATTGAACACCATCTAAACAAAGCATTTTGTCTTAAGAATATCCTAAAGAAATTGCTGGAATCTGTTTTGACCAACTTTCTAATACAATCCATAATTTTGCAAAATAAAAACCTAAGAAGTTGGGTCGCCGGCAACAGCATAACAAAAACTTATCTTAAAGCATTCAAGCTAATAGATTACAATGGGGGACAACGATAACAAAAAAAAATTGAAACATTACGGTGACCTTTCCCCATTAAGGCTCCACCCAGGAAAACAAATAGAAAGGGCCAAAAGGTCAATAGCCATCCAAAAGGATGAGGATCAGATATGTGGATTGTATGCTAAGATGCACAGAAAAAAACACCCTCACAGCCCAGCTCAACTTACTTCGTGATGCAAATAACTCCAATATGATAAGTACTCATGTTTGAATATCAGATCAAAGGAAACTAAAAGTTAAAGTCAAAGCTGGGATATTGAGTGGAACCTTCTCAGCGGTAGAAGCTGTCACCTGAAGCTGGCCATTTTTCTCCTCCAATCGCTCCTGCAACCTGCTAATCTCCACTTCCATGGTTTTAGCCTTATTTTCTGCTTCCTGTTAAAAATCAAAACACACACAAAAGCACTGCTTCCTGTTAAAAACACACCACTGATTACTTGACTCCAAAAAATAAACATAACCCCTAATGACCCCACAATCAAAAGGACCACAAAAAGAAAGAAAGCAATGATTAAATCTGAAGAACTCAAAAAAACATACAAAAAGAAACCACAACCAGAAATCATTTACCTGTCTAGTTACTGTTTCTTTAGCGAATGATTGCTCTTGAGATGCAAGGCGTTTACGTGCTTCCTTTAACTCGGCAGCTAAAGAAACAACATTTTTCCTAAAACCTTGCTTCTTCTCATTTAAATCCTTCAATAAAGGATCAGTCTCTCTTCCAGAAGAAGATATTGATGATGGTTTCTCCAAAACTGACATCAGTACTTAATGGAGATTTTGATCAACCAGCAACTACACTGAATCTTTGCTCAAAGATCTGATACAGATAACACATGCATACACCGACTCAAAACTTGCTTTCTAAAGAGGAAAACAAAATCAAAGATTTATGATTTGGTCTATGCAGTGCTTGCAGCGAAAGATATGGCCTTCGGTGTCTGCATGTGAAAACATTTAATTTGAAGGGTACCCCATGAGTTCAAATTCATAAATAAACACCGTATTCAATTTCAAATACTTTGCCTTAATCTAGTCCAAGAAAAATAAATAAAAATTGAAATTTATTATTTTATTTTTTATGGCACAAAATAATGCATAATATCTCGACCAAATTTATAATGGAGAGAGAGAGGGGCACGTAAAGGGTGTGTCGCTTTCAACTAATAAATAAACGTAGAGAGAGAGAAATAAGGAATCATCTAAGGTCGGACTGCTTAAAACACAAAAAAATCCATACTTTAAGCTGGATTCAAGTAACCTAGAACGCAACACACAACCAAGTCAAGACTCGAAAGGGTCTCTGCAAAGAAATGAACTTTCCTTAAAAAAAAAACGTATCTTTATCCACAGGACACAAGATAGAGATCACAGAAAACATGTCTGCTTAACAAAACAAGAAGAAAGAAAGAAAACCCACCAGCAGAAAAGGAGAGAGAGAGGATAGGAGAGAAACGACATGGAATGTTTTTTTCGGCAAGCTGAAGGTTTTGTAATTGCCATGTATGGATGATCCAACGATGGTGATTGAGAGTTAGGTAAAATCTGACGGAGAGCATGAATTTAGGGTTTTAATTTAATTGTCAATTAGTGCAAGTGAGAAAACAAATCCAATCAAATCAAAGGTGTTTTTTTATTAGTGTTGTTTTATAAAAAGACAAGTCTGAATCAGGGACAACCTAGAGAGAGATACTGACATAGAGTTTAAGTTCGGAGTGAAACCGAACCTTGGGTTTGGTGAAATGACAAAAGCCGAAGCTAAAAACAGGTGTTTTCCATTTTTACTTTTGATTCCCTCGTTTGACTTTGAGCGCGGCAAATCCAAATGTTTTAGGTAAACTGTTGTGTTGTGACACGTGGGTGTGTTTTGACCGTACGATTTTTATGGATCGGCCTTATTCCTCTATTATGTTTTGACAATTATAACCGTAAATTAAAAGTTCATGCAAAGGTAACAGTTTTTAAATAAAAATCAGTGAAATACTACAATTTTACCTTGTCTTGTTTCTAAAACGATATATTTACTCACTATCGATATTTACAAGCACAAAGAAAATAGTCATTGCTCTTGTATTGTATTTTTCATATGATTGGCCGGATGAATAATATTGTGGAATCAATTAGCCCTTTTACACAAAAATTATAATTAAAAAAAAATATTTAAATATATTTTGTGGGTAAAAATAAACATGCTTATCTAATTTGTAGATTAAAAAATAATTTTTGATAATAATATTTTAAAAAATTATTATCTGTATATTAATTCTTACGATCAATTTTAAATTATCAGGTATGAATCTATTATAACTAAATGAAAATATATCACTGACATGTCATGTGAATGACCTAACATGTGTATTTACAAACCAATGATATAGGTTTAGATCTAGGAAAAGGTTTGGTCATGTTAGATCAAAATGATAATTCAAAAATATTGTAATTTTTTATATGACTATTGAATCGTGCTCTTACAAAAGTTTCTAAATGCTATTTTTATTGAGATAGTTAAGGGATTGTTGCTCCAACTATTCTATCTTTAGATTTAAAAAATCTTATTCTGGAATTCTAGTTTTGACAATTTTAAATTGATATTTGAATCAAAATAAATATTATGGTTGTTGATTATAAAATCAATTAATTTTTTATTGTAGTTCATGATCATGACATCCACAACTATATTATTTCACTAAAACTTTTAATTTTATTTATATTTCACTATTTATTTGCATTTTACATGAAATAGATTGGAAGAATCCTAAATTAATGCTTTTTTTCATATTGACTATGAGGTGAGGGAATAATTTTGAAAGGTAGTTTAATTGGTTAAATTTTAAATTTGTTTTTTTAATTGTCAAGAGATCAAGTATTTTTAGAATTATTTAAAATCTACATGGTTATTAATTTTAAAATATAGAAAAACAATTAAAATTTAAATAAATGACCCAATCATTAAAATTAATTAATAATAATAAGGTGAGGCAGCTAACCATGTCGCAGATTCTCATGCCCTTCAAAATAAATGCTGTTACAATGCAAAATAATTATTTAATTTGATGTTCCCACCTAGTTGAGTTCACACTCAAAATGAAGAATTTAATTACCAAGATCTTGCTATTATCTTCAAATAAAGCCAATTACAATGACAATAAAAACATAAAATACATATTTTTTATATCTTTTACTTTAACAGTACATAAATTCATTATGAAATTATATCAGTTTTACTGTATATATTATTATTTATTCATTCAATCAAACATGTTTATATCTTGATTATTTATATCTTTTCTATTCATGTTTTTCAATTTCATTAGCTGGATTTTAAACTTGATGTTTTAAATTACGAGAATCCCAACACCCACTTTTTAATTTTCACTCTACTAAATGTGTATGTGAGAAAGCATTAAAAAACAAATAGAGTTTAGTGTGTTATATTATATGTCATGGAGCGTCTCATGTTTCAATGCGAGCTCGTGAGGTGAAAGAAACTGCTGTTTTTTTCTCGAAGGACAGACTGAATTAACTTTATTAAGAAGAAGGAAGGTTTTTCCTCCCATGGCCCCACCCTGGTGCTGCCAATCTTAAAATAATATAAAATATAGTTTCCATGCCTTGACCCGCCATCATTGCCAAATTACTGGACTGTTCCTGCCCGCCATTCATGCTTCTACCAGGCACCTTCCTATATTTTTTTCAATCTTATGATAATTTAGTTTAATAAAAAATCACAGGTGAAAGAACTCAACATGGCATTGAACATAATCAATCACCCATATATGATCTATAAATGATAGCTCGAAAGATTCCGAGTGCAAATATATACATCACTTGCCGAAAACATTCTGGAGCCAGATTATATACACTTGTGGAGAGCATCAGTTAATCGGGAATATTGCAAGAAAAATCCTTGAAATTTATTGCCTCCCTGGAATCGATAAGTTCTCCACGTCTATAGAGAAAAATCATGGACATGGAGATTCATAGTCTTTATCGAATCAAGAAATTCTTGTTTATTTGGAATCAAGAAACTTATCATAAATACACTTATTCCAGTGCTAATTACAGCAGCTTTTAATTAAAAAAAATAAAATAAAATGGCATTCCTACCAAATCCCATGTGGAGCCAAGATCGATAAACCATCAAAGTCTTGTTGTCCAGCTTCCTTTTCAATGTGTAATTAAGAAGATACATGGCAAGTTCGTATCTAAACTACAAGGCATATATATATATTGTTTATTTTCTCAGAAAAGAAACCCAAGAATCACAGTCCAAGCTTAGCTTAAGAGCTGTAGACATATATATATCAAAGGAATTTGAGATGCGATAATATTATTCTCACGTCATTTATGCATGCTTTAGTAGTAGTTTCTGTACATGGAGCAGTAGTCGTATATATAGAACCGAGCTTTGCACACAGTGAAATTAACAGGATGGATCAAAAGCAGTCGTATAAACAAGGACACTACATATATTGTTAACAGAACACACTTTAATTATACATCTATAACAATGCTTTATAATATTGGACCCAGCGGGGTCATTCATAAAATTCAAGTGTTCCACATGTTAAGAGCCCTTGACATCGAGAGGATACTGTTGAAACCTTGGGAGGTACAGGTGCATGATCACACCTGAAGGGAGGCTAACTCTTGTGCAGAATTCTAGCCAAGAATGCTGGCAGAGGGATGGAAAGGTTTCAGATTTGGAATCATCCAACTCCAGGACCGCCGAGCCATTTGCTCTCCCAGCAGATTCTTTGAGAATCTTGTTCATTAGTTTCTTTTCATTTGTACCAAAAAAAAGAGAAGGGGTAGGAAGAAAGAGACATTCTATGCTTTATATTATAAATTGTTAGATGATATACATGAAGAAACTACAGAGAGAAACCATGTTTTTTGCCGCATGTTACCATTGATGACGAAGTGCAGATGAAGCGTAGCAATGCATCAGTTAGATGGAGGATGAGTGTGGTGGAAGATAAAAACAATAATATAAAATCGAAAAATTAAAAATAATAATAAAAACATCAAGAGTAATGTATATTTTTATTAAGTGTTTTTCTTAAAGTTCTTTTAGCTATTCTTTCTCAAACATGTATATTGCTAATATTGAATTACAAATCTTTTTATAACTATAAAGTCTCATAAAGTCTTAGACAATAAATAAATTAAACTAATACAAAAAGATTCCAATTTAAACATGAAAAATATTTTGTTAACTAAACCAGAAGATGATTCAACTTATTCTAATGGATCGATTAATTTTTCTATTTTTTAAAATCAAGATCTAATTTATTTTCAACATTCTTATTTTTAGGATATTGTGGTCAGCTTTGTTAAAAAAGAGTAAGTGGGAATGTGGTTAAATTATTTTTTGTTGCTAGAATTATATGGAAACCCTAAATTATTGATAAATTACTCTCTTAATTAAAATTTCAGTGCAGTTGATCTTTGTTTAATTTGTTGTTAGTGAAAATTAGATTTTATTTTTCAAATTATAAAGGAATTACGTCATTAAAAATATTCTAATAGATATATCTTCAAATTTCTTTTAATAAAATCGAAATTGTTTTTGATAAAGCCAGTAATAATAAAGTTGCACGCCATGTTAAAATGGTGTCCACATTAGGCTTAGGGTGCTGAACCCCTTAAAAGTAAGAATTTGAAGAATTAAAATAAAACTAAAAAACTTGATTGATCAAATTTCATAAGTATGAATATTTAAATAAAAGAATTAATAAAAGTACTCGATAAAAGAGTACAAGTGCTTCAAACATTTATTTAATATCATAAGCACGTATAAATAATTTTTATTAAAAATTTTGTTATTGTTTATTTATCAATAAAAATCAATAATAACTCAAATTTAAAAAATATACTAAGAAAATGCTTGAGAAATATCTTAAAACTATTCTCTCTCTTAAAAATAAAAACACAACTTTAAAAGACGATTCTCATATCTCTAGCCAAATTTAATTATTCTTCTTTTGCTCTAGCTTTTCCTTTTACTCGTGGCTCCAGCTTTGTCTTTTTTATTCTTTTTCCTTCTGTCGGGAATTAAATTTTCAAATAATTATTTATTTAAATTTTAAATATATTTATTTTATTTATTTTATTATATTTGATATAATTTTCTCTATTATTATTTTAAATAAATATTATCTAATTGATACTAGATACCCAAATGAATATAAATATCTTAATTCTTATAAAACATAAAAGATATTACTTTCGAGATTTTCAACATAAAGAGCAATCAACAAGCCAAAATAGCGATTCAATTGTCTATATTAATCATTCTACAATGTCATTGAACCTGTATTTAGGATGTAGAAACAACAATGAAAATTTTTACAGAATGTGTCAACATATTTATATAAATCACAAATATAAGTTATAATGGTATCAATAGCA